CCCAGACTGTTACTGTGCTTGTAGTGGGGCTCTAAAGATGTAATGAAGTTGAAGTGGGGTGGTCACAGTGGGCTCCAATCCAGTGTAGTTGGTTTCCTTTAAGGAAAGGTTACGTGACAGAGATGCAGATGAACAAAACTGTAACACGGTGGCCATCTGCAAGCCAAGGGGGGACAGAGGGCTGAGAAGAAACCAAACAGGCCACATCTTGATCTCAGACTCTTAACTCCATAAATGTGAGAAAATAAAATTTCTGTTGTATAAGCCACCCAGATTGTGGCATTTTGTTTTATCCCAAACAAATTAAAACAGTTTACAAAGAGCCCGTGTATCACAGCAGTGCACACTGATGAGGTGCTAGGCTGATGGGGACTTGCTTTAAAATAACCTTTGAGAGGGGACAGGGAAAGGGGTGGTTTACAGGAGAAACAAGATGGGTCATAAGTTGAATAATTACTGAAATAGAGGGATGGTATATTGAGATTTATTCTGGTTTATTCTACTATTTTCCCTACTTTCTACATATTTTGAAAATTTCTGTAAAAAAAGAGTGAAAACAAGGAAACTGGATAAGACCTGTGTCTATGGCTTTGAAATCCTTGGTTACACTACGGGTTCCCCAGGAGCTAGGCCCAGAGCCTGTGCGGACCCACAGACCTCACAAGGAGAAACCGAAGTTCTTCATGGAGACTTGGAGGCAAACACCACATCCCCAGAAGAGGCAAGTGCGATGAAAATAGACCCCTGCAAGTTAATTTATAAATTAAAATACTTACTTAAAAATTGTGCTTCACTGTCCCAAAGTTGCCTAATACCTACTTTCTCTTCCTGGGATTTCCACCCACTGAAGGTACCAACTGTGACCACGAGCGACTGCTCAGTTCTGGGCAGAAGCTTCAAGAGCCAGCCTCCTTCCATGCCCCGAGAGCTGGTGGTGCCCCAGTTGGCGGCTGCCCCAGGAGCCTGGGCCCTTGTGTGAGGAGGCAGTGATGGGGACCCAGAACTCCCAGCTACACCATGTTGGGTGTGGAGAAGGAGGCAGAAAACAATCTGTTTTTAAACCACTGCATTTTAGGAGTTCTCTCTATAACAATCTACTCCATTTTGTCTCATATAGAAATTCAGTGTAGACCTTGACTGAATCCTCTATAATCCAGCTGAAAGAAAAAGGCAGGCAGATAATACTCTAAAGAAGCAATTACACCTTATCACAAAGCATCGTTAGTTACAAATTAACGATGAACGAGATGTGGTGGTACATGACTGTAATCCCAGCACTCTGGGAGGCCAAGTTCAAGCCCAGCCTAGGCAACTTAGTGGTTTACCAAACCCTGTCTCAAAACATAAAAAAGGGCTAGGAATCTAGCTTACTGTAAAGCTCTTAATATTCAATCCCCGGTATTGCCCCTCCAAAAAAGAATTTATGATAGTAAGTATAGAAATAAAACTTCCCAACTACACACATTAGTTCTGAAGTATAAAAAGTCCCTAACACATAGTTAACACACTTACGAATTTATCTGATTAACTGTGATGGAAGTTTTCCATTCTAGGGTGTTACCTATTGAGTTGTCTCAATTTACCAGTCAAAAGCTACAAACACAGCATTGCTCACATGCACAAGGCTACCTTGGTAAGGCAGTCTTGCTCCTTATTCACCCGTCCAGGAAATCATTTAGTAAAACAGACTATTTTAAGCCAATATAACGCATATCAATAGTATTTGAGAGAACACTGGTGGTTTCGTTCTTTAGTGTCTTCTGAGCTACCCCAGATATATTTTAGATATCATTAAAATGTCTGTATTATGAATTTTCTACCTTTTCAGGGTCACATGTGGCTGACCTTACTCCCTAAAGGTTAAAAGATGCATTTCAACAGTTAAAAGATGCACTGGTGTATAAAAAGCTAAACAGCTTGGCTAGAAAAATCACCCATGTTTTCTAGGTCAGCTGTCTTTCTGGAAAATTACTATATTATAACAAACTATTGGAACTTACTTCTAAAATGCCAAGGAAACAAAAATAAATCAAGGAGAAAGAGAAATTATTTTTTCAAATAGGGGGCTGAAGTCTTCCTAGAGGGTCTTACCACCTCTCCAAAGATTTTTGTGCTCAGATTTAACATACTGGTCCAAATGTCCCATTTTACTATTACTGTTATTGTTCTTTATTCTGGTGGCACTGGGGATTGAACCCAAGACCTTTGCACTGAGTTATAATTCCAGTCCTTTTAAATTTTTATTTGTGAGACAGGGTCTTGCTAGTCATTAAGATGCCTGGGCTGGGCTTGAACTTGCCATGCTCCTGCCTCAGCCTGTCGTGGGATTACAGTCAGGCACCACCATGCCTGGCTTTCCCTATGCATGCTCATGATAGGAATGTGGCATGCTGCCTTCCTGCATGTCTTGTCCTCTCCATAGCCCTCTGCCCTGGCTAGGAGCACCCACTCTTTGTGAGTCTATCTGTTTGCCAGCTCACCAGTGGGGACCTAGTGTGACTCCTTACCTGGCCCCCTTTCTGCAGTGCTCTGGAATTGTCCATTGATAGGCCTGTCCCCCCTGCAGAGCTCACAATTTTGTGTACACTATTTACACAGAGCACTGCTAATCCCTTATGAACATTAATGGCCTCCAAGTATTTAAGAACAACTAACACTGCCTCCACTGCCCATCCGGAGCTTAGTAACACACAATTATTGTAGCTGAAGAACTGGGAACTTGAACAAACTGCTCCACGCCACATGGCCAGGGCTGGGCTCTGGTGCCCTCCTTCTGTACCACCACTCACACCACCCTGGGAGCCTTGGAGCCTGGACATCTCAGTCACAGCTCTGCTACCAATTCCAAGAAGGCTCTGGAGGCCAGGGCAGTTGGACGAAGGCCCTGTCTGAGCCTTCCTACTTAACTGGTGTGAAGTCCTTGCCCAAACATGGTCTCTGCCTGAGCCTTTCAGCAGAAGTGACTGTCTCCTGTGAGGCTAATGGGGTTATGCCTATGGAGACCTTGGCACTGGAGCTGGTATACATGTGTCCTCACTGGCATTTTTTTATCTTGAGAGGCTAGTATTCTTGCTGCTAGATAGCATTCGCAAGCCTCTGACTGACCCTGTGGCCAGGCTACATCTTCCTGTCCCGCTTGTACAGATGGAACTTTATTTCCACCTACAAGACCTTATGCTTAGGTTTCACTGTTTTATTTTTGTTTTTGTTTTTTGCAATACCGGAGATTGAACTCACGACCTGTGCTTGCCAGGCAGGTGCTTATGCCACTGAGCTAAATCCCCAGCCCCAAAGGAAGAATTTATAATATGTGAATATTATCTTTTCTGGTTTTTTTTTGTACCAGGGATGGAACTCACGACCGCGCGTTTGCAAGGCAGGTGCTTGTGCTGCTGAGCTAAATCCCCAGCCCCTCCACTGTTTTCATTTGTGTTAGACTTGGCTTATTTTTGCCCTCATGGATCCAGTTCTTTCTCCCATATCCTCAGCTGTGTTATCTGTAAGCTGGATATTTGCCTCTTTATCTGTCTCTTTCTCTCTGTACTGGGAATCAAACTCATGACCTTGTTGCTTGCTAAGGCAGGCGGGGTGCCGCTGAGCTATATCCCCGGTCCTCACCTCTATCTTTGAACTGCTGATCAAACTGTGAACATAGTCAATGTAAATGGGTGTCTGCAGGTGTGGGAGCGAGTGCAGAGGAGAAAACAGGCTTGGAACACAAAGCAGCAATGTGTGTTCAAACTTCCCAAACCTCCACCTTTCCGCACCCATCCTGCAGGACATGGCACCCTTGAGTGTTACAGTGACAGTGTCCAGGAGACAATCTGACGCTGTGTACAAACATGGGAAAAGAAAAGACACCTCTGGAAATTTACTCCAAAGAAGTCATTAAAGAGAAGAAAAAAATCCTTATGTACATGATATTTATAATAGTAAGTCATCACTTAAAATGCTGGAACACTCTAAATAACTTTCATGCCCTATAAAGAGGAATGGTTAAATAAGTTATAACAGAGTAACAATAGCAATGTGGTTCCCAATATGAATATAATGATTATGTATTTTATGTTGGTGACCATAAAGTTACTTAAAATAAGTCACCATATAGGTAGGTAGTATGACTGCAGCTAGAGGAAAATTACATACACATAGGGAAAGGTAGAAGGTAAAGAAATAGAAAATTACAGCTATGATATTTTATGTTGGTGACTATAAAGTTATTTAAGTCACCGTATGGATATATAATATGACTGAAACTAAAGAAAAACTATATACACATAGATAAAGACAGAACAGGAAGTTAAAGAAATAGAAAAGTATAGTTATGGTAAGATATAATTTTTTGGTTGTTTCCCATTAAAATATAATTTATTTGGTCATAAACATCCCAAATGTCTGTGCACACATAATTCAGTGTGTTTATTCTTTTTATGCACATATATAACGTGAAGGGAGAGCCAAATAAGAACCAAGGATGAACAGTCCAAAGCCGGAGTCTGCGCTAACAGAGGACCTCCCCTGAAGTTAAAAAGCATTTTCCTAACCCCGAGCGCCAATTCCTGTCCTCCAGGAGCCTCAAGGTCCAGGGACTTGCTGATGTTCCACTGACACTCACACGTCACACCCTTGCCTGCCAGTCACAAGAGTGCTGAGGAGACCTGAGAGTGCCAGGGTGGCACAGCAGGGAGGGCAGAAGTTCTGCTGCCCAATCCACCCTATGCCCAGCCAGCTCGGGCATCTACCAGCCAGGGGCTCTGGGGAGCATCTTCTCTGTGAGCTGCAGCAGCTGCCCCTCTCAGCGGGGTGGTTGTGCTGGCCACCCCTGAGTTGTTGTGAGGCATCAGAGACGCTCGGTACCGGTATTAAATGTGTGCCTTACCATCTCTTGCAGAAAGGCACAAATTCTAAATTTAAAAAGAAATAAGGCAGAAACAGAAGTAGTAACACATTAAAGCGAGGAGAGAAAAAGAGGGCCTCTTGTGGCTGTGGCCCGTGTTTACCGTAGGTGAACATGCGAGGCGAAGTCAGCTCAATGTTGGGCAGGGCGCCCAGGTGGTTCAGCACAGCGCACCGATAGCCATTTTTCTGTGCATAATCAACAAAGGTGCGGATGTACTGCTTCTCACTGTGGTTGGCAATTCCAGGGCAGATGACCATGGTGATATCATCTACAGGGTAGAGAAAGAGATCATCATGTAGCCAACTACTATGACATGATAAGTTAGCAGAATTACTCACTGGAGAAGGGAATTTATTTATTTATGAGGTTTTTATTTTTATTTTTATTTTGAGACAGGGTCTTGCTATATAGTTTAGGCCGGTCTTGAACTCACTATGTAGCCCAGGCCTTGAACCCATGATGATCCTCCTGCCTTAGCCTTCTCAGTTCTGGGATTACAGATGTGTGCCACTATGCCCAACTAGAAGAAGGGAATTTAGTTCTTTTTCTTTTGGTACTGAGAATCAAACTCAGGACCTTGAGCTCGCCAAGCAATTGCTTATGCCACTGAGCTATATCACTGGCCCAGGAGAAGGCAACTTAAAGTACCTCTTTTCATTCAATGCATTGGAAAAGACATCTTTCCCTTTTAGCTAGAGTTGTCTATTTTAGTGTTTCCTTAACTATTTATGGGAAAGGGTTTATTTTTAAAACTTCCAATCCATCATAGACTTATACTTTTGAAAAATACATTAGATATTAATTACTAGAAATATGAAATAAAAATACATAAACTTCAATTTTTAAAATTAGAGTCAACAGATACAAAATTGCTACACAAGTGTGTGAATATCATTCTTGTATGAAGTTCTAAATGAATAAATAAATGAGTGAAAAACTAAAAAGTAGTGCCTGCTCAGATCCCTTTGACTCAATAATTTTATTTTCAGTATCTGTTCTATAGATCTATAGATCTATCTATCTATCTATCTATCTATCTATCTATCTATCTATCAGATTTAAAATGGCAGAAGGTTGAACATAGCCTAGATGTCCAGGAATAGGCGTCAGAGTTGGATAAGTCACTGCACATTCAAGTGACAAAATATGATGTGGCCTTTAAAAATAATTTGATACTTACATAATCCCATTTGGCAAGCTCTACAATATATATTAGGTAAAAAACACTACGTAAGACTTCTGGGAGAACATGGCAGATAGATAACAGCAGCTATAGAGGCTCTCTGAGATAGCCAGCTTAGAATCCAGGAATGGTGCGATATGAGGAGCCCTAAGCAAGGGGAGATATACCCTGCCGACCCAGGAACGAACTAAGCTGAGAGAAACCAACTGGAAATGCAATCCTGGTGCTATAACCAGAACGGATAAAATCTCAGCGCCGAAGCTGGAACCCGCGCCTCTGGAAACCTTGATCTGAATTTCTTGCTGCCGCTGCTGCATCTGAATCAGCTCAGCAGGGACAGAGACGCAAAAGCTCTGAGAGCAAGAATTGGCAAACGGAGTTGAGAGCAAGACTAGCAGGGAGCCCTGCATCGACCTGTGGTGAGTGAGAGGAATGGGGACCCTTTCATAGACTAGGAGGCTCCAACGGAGGACATTCTGGGACTGGGCAGACTAACTGGAACAGGATGTTGCAGTGACGTTAGTCACATATTCCCCTCTCAAGCGGGATTGGTAGGGAGCGCTTGGCCTGGGTGATGCCGTGGACTAAGACCCAGTAGGCTAGCCCAAACCAGGTCCCAGCGCCTGGCAGTGCACCCTAGTGCAGTGAAGCCTTCAGTAGGTTGACCTGGAGGGGCGGGCCCAGCAGAGGCTGCCCACGTCTGTGTCTCCCTAGTATACTGCAGTGGGCCGGAACACCTAGCCGGCGGATTCAAACAAACTGTAACTGACAAAGAAAGAAACTGGGCCTCCTATATATGCCTGTATGGAAAGAACAAAAAGTATGGGAAGACGGAGCAACAAGAAAGGGTCCTCGGCCCCCAATCCTGAGAACACTGATCCAGGAAAGGTAAATGCAAAGGAGAATGAGGACAGAAAACATGCAATATTAGGCATGACACCAATAGACATAAAGCGATATCTCTGGAGCCTCATAGATGAGTTCAAAAGTGAAGTATTTAATGAAACAAAGCAAGATATAAGTAGAATAGTTAGAGAAATGCTCAGCACCGCCCAAGAAAAAACAAATGGTGAAGTGGAAGAACAGAAAAAAAGGGGGAATTGTTTGATAGAGAAAACATGGAATATGTGAAGCAGGTTCAAAGAGATTACCAGGAAACTAAAAACTCTTGAAAGCTGGCATAACAGCTTGAAAGAAACTAAGGATAGATTATGTGAACTGGAGGACAGATTTGTAATGTGGGAGCATGAAATGAAAAACTTCTTAAAAATAACAAGGAAACAAACAGCAATAATACAAAGGCTAGAAGTTGATAAGAAAATCTATAACTTAAGAATTAAGAACGTAAAAGAAGAAGTAGGGACATACAAATGAACTACATATGCTACTCACAGAAATAATCCAGGAGAATTTCCCTAATTTAGCAAAAGGTATAGATACTCAGATGTATGAGGCATACAGGACCCCAGCCACCAAACAAAAGTACACCCAGGCCTATAATAATCAAAATTCCAGAAATCCAATATAAGAACAGAATACTAAAAGCCATCAGAGACAAGAAACAAATCACTTACAAGGAAATACCCATCAGAATTACAGCAGACTTCTTGGCACATACCATCAAATCACGAAGGGCGTGGAGGGAAATAATTCAAGCTTTGAAAGATAATAACCTCCAGCCAAGATTGATATATATGCTGCACAACTGGCCCTAGAAATTGATGGAAAAACAAGGTGCTTCCAGGATAAAGAGGAACTAGGGGAATTTGCAACCACCAATTCAACTCTGCAGAGAATACTGCAGGACATTCTAAAAAAGAAAAATACCAAGATTCCAGAAACAGTGGCAGATAGGCCACAATGAATGGAGCAGAAAGTAAAATGAAGAAGACAAACTGACAACTAATAACAGAAAAAGAGCTCAACAGAAATGAGGCAGAGAAGGTTGGATGGTGTGAACAGCTATTTTGGAGAAAACAAGACATCATAATAGCTAGTGCTGATTTAATATCATCTTGTTTTGAAGTCCCATCAAGCTTTTGTTCTTCTGTCTCCATCGGTCTTAACATGTTGTATCTTATTGGATTTTATTATATGTGATAATATAAACAAACACTTTTATAGACAAGGAGATTATACAGAAACCATTGTTCATTGTGATAATATAAACAAAAACTTTTATAGACAAGGAGATTATACAGAAACCATTGTTCATTGTTTCATTGTTCATTGTTGATTCTAAATACCCTGTAATACTGTCATTCTCTTGAATGGTTTTAGATTGTCTTGATATGTTTGATGCTACAGTATACGAAGTTATACTCAAAGATTTCAAGGAAAGAGACACTATGGTTACTATTTTTATGTCGGGATATCTTGTGGTGAAACACTATTTTGCTTAAATGGTTATGTTTTGACCTGTGCTGTTTTGTTGTTATGCCTTCTTTTATCTCAATCTCATTTTTTATTATTTACTTTTATCTTTTTAATTAAGGGAAAAAAATAAATAAAAAATAGCAGGTTATATTATAGTAATCCACTTTGATTTCCTATTAACTTGAGTTGAAACCCTGAATTGCTTTCACCATCTTGTTTTGACTGATTTTCCTCTATTCTATTTTGCTTGATAGTACCAAGTTCAAGAGTATAGGCAACAACTGTAAAGATAATAAGATTCATTATGACGCCCATTCTGGTTTGACTATTATCTTCTTTTGAAGTCCTGTAATGTCTCCAATGTTTTGGTTTTATTGGTTTTGTTCTTTACTGTTGTGTTCAATTTTATTATAACTGATGATATACACAATTCTTTTTAAGATAGCAAGGGCATTATGGTAACCATTGTTGATCACCTTGTATTTTGTTTTTACATTATGTATTATGTCCATCCTTTTGATTTGACTGACTCTGTTTTGTTGTGGCACATTTGGTTTTACTCTCTTCAAAAAAAAGTAATAAGAACTGTGGGAGTAATAAAACCCAAAATGTGTAATTGTCATTGTACAAAAGAGAGGAAAAGAAAGTGCTCTAAAGGGTATAACTGCATGTATATTTAAGTGTATAAGATAGACAACCCTATTACTGAGTTTTGTTGGATCACTGAACAGAACTGTTTGCGGTTTCACTGTTTGAATGTCCACCTTATATGCTTTAATTTTGTAACTTGAACAACTATTTCTAAGATGACAATATGTAATCTATTAACTAGTGATTTCCTACTGTTTATTTTTTCTGAAATTTTGTATAATTTGTACCCTTTTTTGTTTTTTTTTTCTTTTTCTCCTGAAATAAAATTAAAAAAAAAAAAACACTAGGTAAGCAAAAAGTGATAATATGTTGCCATCTATGTAGAGGAAAAATAAAGATGTGCATGCTCATTAATGCACCAAGTAGCTCCAGAATCATACACAAGACCCTTAGCAGTGGGTACCACTGGGGAGAGCTAAGAGAAGGAGGAGAGATGAAGAGAGACTTATTCTTTTCATCATAAATGTTTATTTTAGTACATTTTGAGTTTTCTATCATGACTATAAATTACCTATCTGAAAATATGAATACATATGTTCTTTAAACTGGTTTATTAAATCTGATTGTAATTTTCCTTTAAATTAAGATAAAAACAATTGAAAAATTCTTAATGTTAGTAGAAAAATGTGGCTTAATAAACAATTCTATAAGATGCATAAAGAGCCTCAGACATTTTCTAAATATTGACCTACTGATTCAGAGTCTTAGAATCTTGCCTAAAATTTTATGTTTAAGGTGCTCAGTATAGAATTATTTATAGGGACAAAATATCATAAACAAGCTAAATGCCCAGCAATAGAAGAAACTTAAATTATGGTAACACCACATTGTATACTATTAAGCAGTTATTAAAACTGTTTTTGAAGATATTTGGGCTTTTAATAATCTGTGAAAGTATATATAATATAATAATATGGGTATAATATATAGCAACTCAAATTTTGGAAAAATAATGTACAGAACTGGAAGGAAAAGGAACAAGATGTTAATAATAGTATGCTATACTGTGGGATTATGGGATTAAAGGTGATTATTTGCTTTTTAAAATAAAATGTTTCTGTATTATCTAAATATTCTAGAATGAGAACATTGTTTTTGTAGTCAAAAAAAGAGTCTTAAAAGGAAAAAATGTTTTGATCAGACCATGTTAGGGGACAGACATTGCCTTCTCCAGAAACACCTTCATCAGTCCTCTCTTTGGACTGAAAGACACAGACAAATACAGCTAAAAGCCAACACTATGCCCTTCCAATGGCCCCTGTGGTCCCGGTATAAGAAAAGCAGACTGATGGGGATACATTTTCTGCTCCCATGGTAGAAGGAGAAACACCCTAATTGAGAGAAAAGAAACACTGACGTGGCTTTGGCGGACAAATAAATGTTTGAAGAGCAGCTCTGAGATTTCTCCGTCCTACTCCTGTGCTCCTCTGCCCACAGGCGTGTGCTGGGAGCCACTGTCCTGGACCCTGCATCCCACTGAGGAGATGGCACACGACTGCCCAGGTGACTTTATGGAGTGGCAGGGGCTGGGAGGAACTATAGCAGGGGTACGAAGAGTCCATTGGGAAGGCAATGCCTGGTGGGGGAGTTGGGACTCTCTGAGGAGGTGACATCTGAACTGAATGACCAGGAGGAGGCAGCCATGTGCCGGTCTGGAGATGAGCCTTCCAGGCAGCTACTTAGCAGCTCCAGCTATTTTAAATAACTGAAGGTTACAGTACATTTACTGGAATTTAACCACCAATGATCACCACATTCTTGTAAAAAAACAAAAAACAAAAACTGCCTCTGAATATGTTCTCTTCCACTAAAAACAATGTTGACACCTCCCTCCTCTTTCTCAAAAATCTTCATTACAAAGCATTTTGGTTATGGAGACAGGGTCTCACGATGAAGTTCAGGCTGGCCTTGAAATCACCATGTAGCCCAGGCTGGCCTCAAACTTGTGCCGATTCTCCTGCCTCAGCCACCTGAGCGCTGGGATTACAGGTGTGTACCATCGCACCCGGCTATTACAAAAACACATTTTGTAAGGAATGTTTACGGTATAGATTTGATAGAACAATGCCAATTCCAACAGCAATGGCAATTGGAGTTGTTTCTCATCTACAGTAAAGATGACCTTAATGTGTCTCTCTGTTCAAGGAAATCTATGCACAGGGCATCTGAGAAACTTTTTATACTGTTATTCAACAAAGCCAGGCTATCCTGCTTCTCCACGCCTGTTTCCTCATCAGTAAAGTGGGGACGGTACAGCACTGACCTCACAGAGCCCTGAGGGGACAACCGCAGATGTGAAGCACATAGAATAGTGCAGCCTCTGGGGCTGAAAATGACTCAGAGGCCCAGTCCTGGGGCCTGGCTTCCACGCTCACCTCTGTCCATCACACTACACACCAGTATCTCACAAGGGGATTTGAAAACGATTCTGCAAGGCTCTCTGGAGAGCCTTCCTCAGGACTGGCGAGCACATGCTAGAGCCAATCCTTGCAGGTTGCTCCTCAGTGATGAATCTCAGCAGACTGCGGGCCCATGGGACAGAAGGAGGCATAAGCACTGGCACCGGGGGCCTCGCTGGTTATTGCTCTGCTCTGTGAAGAGGATTCTTGGGACTAAACTAGCTCACCTCCAACACAGTGCTCCGCCAAGGGCTCGAAGAGGTCAAATGTAGACGTGGCTCCATCGGACATGGTGATGAACTTCCGATGCCCGTAAGGGTGTGGCGACCTCACCCTTCCCATCTTCCCATACAAGGCCGTCTGGATGTGTCCGCTTTTCCCCCATATCAATGGTGGAATGTATCTGAGAAAGAAGGACAAGGGACGTCAATTTTCTCCACGCTCTCTGGACGAAGCTTTCAACTTACTTAAGCTTTTTCCTGACATGTTCTATGGACTAAGCATGAGCATGAGCTTCTTTTTTTATAACTTTCCATTCATGCCATGATTCACCTCCTTCCCCATTTATTAACACACGCTGCCTATAGCAGATTGGCTTCAGAAATCAACCAGGACATACTTAGACAGAGATTTTAAATTTAAGGTGTTAAGTAACTCAACATGGATTATATCTGTAAGAATAAAAAGAATGCAAGTGATACATTTTGAACACATTTTAACCTGACAAAGTTAGCTTTGTTATTATCAAACTCAGCGTTCCACTACTGGAACCTAATGCTCAACCACACTGGGAACAGCTGCCATGTGTGCCCGGCAGGATGAGCTAGAAGGGAAGTGCAGTGGAAAAATTTGTCGTGTTCATAAAGGATGGTTAGTTTGCCTATGCAAGGACTATGCCTCCCCTACAACCATCCTTGTGAAAATGCAAGTGATGCCAGGCTTGGGTAGGAAATGCGAAACACAAAGCAGTTAATTACTGGGAAAAGGTGTTTCAGCTACAATTAAGTGACCATGGTTCACAGCCACAGTACAAGGTGATCCCATTTACTGAAAATGCTACTGATTCCTTGCCCATGGCTTTTCACCCAAGCTTGCTGGCTGGCCAGGATGTGTGCTCTATAGAAAGTAGAGAAATATAGTATAGTACAGTGATGACATCAATCTTTCATCTCTGTACTATGTCACAGTGGTGTTTTATTAATAATTTACCTTAACCTATCTGCCAACCCATGCTCATCATTTCTCTCAAAGCCAGATGATCCCTCTCAGAGGTCCTTCTTTGATTTACTTTTTGTGAATGTAATTAATGTTGATCTACACAGAGTTAAGAGAAGTGAAGCTATCACTTATGTCAGTTCCCAGATAAGCTTTCTCCTGGGGGTGGGGAGGAGAGGGAAGAATAGTTTAAAATCAAAAGAATATGTAACACTACAGGCGCAAATAGCAGTGCAGAAGCTTCGGTATTTGGAAAGCAGATTAAGGCATTTATAAGAGTTGAGTAGATTATAGAAGTAACAAAAAGCAATATTATAATAAAAATTATGTCAGTGGGATAACTGAGCACTGTATAGGATTTAGCTATGTAATCTATCAAGGGCCCCAGACTTCAAAGTTGGACCTAAACTGTGCATGTGGGGAGAGGAATTACTCAAGGAACCAAACCCCTGATTATGTTTAAATAAAAATTAAAACAAAAAATATTTTTGCTTATTGTTATGGTTTAAACCCAGATGTTTCTCAAATCTTCACATGCTCAGAGGTGGGACCTTTGGAAGGTGGTTGAATTTTGGGGGCATCACCTGCTTTTAAGAAGTGAGGTTTGGTCAGAAGAGGTGTGCCACTGTGGGCATGACCAAAGGGGTTCTATCTCCCTTCTCGGCTCCTCTCTTTACTCTCTCCGCTTCCTATCCACCATGCTGTGGGCAGCCCTCCTCTGCCAGGCCCTTTTGCCACGCTGTCCTGCCTTGGAGCCAGCTGACACAGATTGAAACCTGAGCCAAAATGAACTCCTCCTCCTTTAAGGTGTAAGGAATAAATACTGGTATAAATGTTGGGTACCAGATAAGGATGGTCATTTCTGAGATGCTAAGCCTTTGGAAGTGGCTAATGGGAAAGTTTAGAGATGTCAGCTAAACAAGTCCTAGAGTGCTGTAAACGGTGCTTCTGGGCAGTGCTATGAAGACCAGAATGCTGACAAAAATGCAGATGGGAAGGGCCAAGCTCAGGAGTTTTCAGATGGGAACAAGGACTCCACTGGCAGTTGAACTCCAGGCCATGTGTGCTACGCTCTAACAGAAAATTTGCTCATGCCCTGAAACTTCTAGCTATGTAATCTATCATACATTTTGCTCATGCCCTGAAACTTTGCAGGAGACTGTGATTTAGGGCAGGAGACTGACTAATTTCAAGGTACCTAGTAGAACGGTGGTTATGCTGCTTTTAGCAAGACCAATTTTGAGAAACAGGAGCAAAAAACCCATTTCGTTAAGTTTTCAGTTTTGCTAGAAAGAGTATCCCCGAAGAGCAAGCAAAGGAGAAATTGTTTGCTGAAAAGATTAGCATTAAGAAGAAGCTAGGTACTTTGGATCAAGGCCACAGGAAAAATAATTTGAGGGCATGTCAGGAATCATCATCAGTAGAACTGTTTTCTTTTGTAGGTTCAGGGGTGCAAGGCTGTAAGGCTTTGCTTTGAGAAGAGAGCCCCAGAGCACTCTGGGGCCACCTAGAGAATTAGTTCCCAGGCACTCAGAGGCCTCTGCAGAGTCTTGGCTACTACTTGAGCTGGTGACAGACCTTGGTGATAAGAATTGACAGGAATGATAATAAGAGTTATGAGGTCAGAGAGGTTTCCACTCAGACTTCAGAAAAAAGGCCTGAGAGGCCAGGCAATGTGACCATGAGAGGACAGCATGTGAAGCTGTGACAGTTAAGCCGAAAGTGCGGACTCCAGGGATTGGAGAAGTTGGGAACATAAGATGTTTGAGGAGAGCTGCAAGAAGTGAGCAAAGCCAGCCCAGGAGAGAAGTCATAAAAGCGTACCAGAGACGGGGCCACCTGAGCCCTTTGGCGTTTACACCTTACTGTAGCTCACCCTGTGTGCTGGACTCAGAGCAACAGGATTTAACGTTCGCCCTGCTGGGTTTTGGTCTGACTTGGTCCCTTCAGTTTCTGTCCTCTTCCTTCCCTGTGCCTCTGTGTGTCAGCAGTGTTTAACATTTCTTTGATTTTCACAGGGGCTCTCAGCTAAGAGTGTGCCTTACATCTGAGAAGAGACTACATCTCTTCAGCAGTGTTGCAACTGTTAAGACTCTGGCCACTCTCAGAAACAGACAATGCATTTCACACAGAGAATCAGCAGGAGTCTCTTGGGGGCCAGGGGGTGACGTGTTCAGAGGTGGGAACTTTGGAAGGTGATTGGACTACGAGTGCTTCTGGCTGGGATTTACTTTTCAGATAGCCTGGTCAGAAGCAGTGGGTCACTGTACTCCCTACCTGGCTCTTCCCTTTACTCTCTCTGCTTTCTGTGTGCCCTGCTGGGGGCAGCTTTCTTCTGCCATGCCACCCCTCCTTGGAGGCTTCCCACTATGCACTGAATATAAGTCAAATAAATTCTTCCTTAAAGTTGTGGGTGTTGTAGCAATGGTGAAAGTGACTACGACACTTAATTTAATATAAATTAAATTGTGCTGAGGTTAAAAATGTCAGAAGAATGGGCAAATTTCCTATGCCGAGTGTCTGATCTTATTTAGAACACACTACAATCTTAGAAAATATTTTGCATATAATGATGATGTATGTATTCATCCTGATGCCATACGCCTGGTTCAAGGTCATTGTCACCTCTTCTGAATCTTAGCAACCACACTCCCCGTGGCCTTCCAGCCACCTGCTTCTCCATCTGCCCTGCCAATGGAGAGACAATTTCAAAACACAGAGCTGGCCATGGCCCCCTCCGCTTGAATCCTTGCTCGGTGTTGAAGGCTAGCCATACCCCACTGCTCAGTTAACTTCTGTATCAGCTGTTATAACCCTGACCCACTGGCCCGATTCCATTCCAAATGGGCACACTTTGCGCTGAGGTACTGTTCTTCTCATTTCCTCTGTCTGGGATGCTTTGTCACACCCAGGTGTCCTCCTGGCCAGAAAGCACTGGTCTCTCAGGACTCACTTCCAATCAGGTTCCCTGCACAGCTCTGCCCAGCAGCCAGCTGGACCGGTTAATCTGAAAGTTCTTTCTAAGTGCATTCCTCCCACCAGTCCTCCACCTTTGGTTCTGCCCCCAGAGCACCTGCTGCATATCTGCACTGAGATAGAACTTGATGAAGTAAACAACAGTAAATCTAAAAAAGAAATACATTTAAAAAATATATTTAGAAAATCATATGTAACATAATGTGAATTTGGCTATCACATGATTGGCATTTGGCTATTGTCATCTTTACAGCCCACTTAAACTTTTTCTCAAACAGGGTGGAATAAAATCCTCAAACGTGTGTGTGTGTGTGTGTGTGTGTGTGTGTGTGTGTAAGCAGATGTCTCAGAATCCCTTGGGACTTTCTCTGTTCAATATAAGGTCAATTGTACACAGCAGAAATTTCATAATCTTTAATTTTATGACAAAACCACCTACTGAGGAAACATTGTTTTTAATTAACTTCATAATAATAACAATGGAATTTACAAAACTGAGTTTTGGGAATGTATTTTATGGTGGGGTTTCACTGTATGTTTCCCTGTGCATAAAACTTCTCCACAGACCACAAGAAAAAAACAACAAAACCAAAAACCAAATAGTTGCTTCATCAGGTCACGTAGGTCAAAAGAAAATATGGACTTGGCTGATAAAATATTTTGAATTTTACATAAACATACAAACACTAAAGAGATGCTGCTAAAACAGTACACAGGAGAATATGGTTTCTCTATGTAGTCTGATGAAAATGTAGCTGCCTGTAAGTCCACTTAGGTTGCGGTCTCCACAAGCCACCCTCCATCCTGTCAGGAGCTGGATTCCCTGCCTGTGAGTCTAGGTGATCTGGGGCTGCTGGGCAGATAGAAGTCAGGAAGAACTGCTGGGCGGATCCGGGCGTGGCTCTTAAGAGACCTGGCAGCTCATGCTTTTCCCTTCCCTGACTGCCTGCGTGGGGGCCACCCAGACAGAGCCAGGAAAAGGACAGGGTCTGAGAGCCATGTGATTTTAAATTTTATAGATATTGCCAAATTGCTTTCCCCAAAAAGACAGGTCAGTTTACAGTCCCACCAATAATGCATAAAGGCACCTGCTTCCTCACCCTTATCAATATTTATTGGTATTATCAATCTTTTACATTCTAGCCACTTTAATGGGTAAAAATGGGCATCTCTTGTTTCTTAAGGTGGATCAATCCAGTTTATGGTTTTAAA